GAAAACCTCCTGAAATGTGCTTTTCCTCTCTAAGCCCCTTCTAGCTGATACCTCTTGACATCTTAATGGAGGTTGAACTTGGGTGCAGGCAAACTCTTTCATTTATCTTTCCCAGCTCTAAATTCAAAAACAAAACAACAAAAACGTGTGTGAAATGTTCCTGGTCTATCTCTATTTTTGTATTTTAAGAACATATGTCTTTGACAGCATGTGGCCCAACATGTTATTATTCAAGCAAGATGTCAGAAACATTCAACTGGGGGGGGGGTGTTATTTCAAAGTTTCACTAATCCTGGTGGCTTCAAAATCAAGAACTTGCCAGAGTCCATAGCTAATAATCCAGCAGTGGAAAACAGTAAAGAATAATTGATCGAAAACAAAATCAAATGTAATAAACCAGAAGGAAGGGCAAAATCAAATCAGGAATTTAGAGTCAAGTCACATACTGATCTTAGGTTCTAAGGCACCTTGGTTTTTGTTTAGAAAATAGGAGTACTTGTATTATGTGCTGTATTAAATCAGTGCACCCCTGGCTTCCTTGTCCTCCTGAGTCATAAAATGAGAAATTTAGCAAATAGATCTCTTTCAACTCTGGTCATCTAAGCATTGGAAATCCAGGACTTTTGTGTGTACTCAGAAATACAGGTATAAAGTAAGTTTATCTACAGCAGTGTAACCAAAGTTAGCTATTTAATGGTCATTTTATCCAATATGGACATGCTAACTTGTGTTCTTGTATGTACTGAAAAAGTCAATACATACTTTTCTAAGAGTGAGAGATGTATTTTACTGTCCCATTCAAGATAAAGAAGGATATTATTCATGCACCGATTTCAAAATTTTTAAATAGAGGGTTGCCTGTCTTTCAAAATTGTAAATTAAAGATGCAAAATACTAGAGCTTCTGTTGCAAGATGATTATTCTTCAAGAAGAAATATAAACAGCAGTGACCGTTTCTTCACTGCCATGCTCAGCCATCAGAAAAGCTTAATAAATCCCTATTTAGTATGCATTTATGCAGTGATTACATGAACTTTGACCTCTGAAGAGCTGTAGTAATTAGCTTCAGTGTCCAGCATTTCCCCACTGACTTCTTGGATCTTCCTTTTCATCTCTTAGTAGTTCCTGCAGTAGGAGGGCATAAAATTTAAAGTTGACTTTCCACCTGAGATATTTGCTTCTGCACAAGTCAATTTCTCCTCCCACTCCCCCTCCAACTCCTGTCTAAACAGCCATCTCAGATGGATATTGGGGCTCTGGTTGTCGATATTACTCAAACACAAATGGATTTCAATTCAATCTTACCCGGTACTTTCACTAAGAAGATAAACTCTAATGGCCCAAAAAGGTTCATTTCATAGCTCTTGGCATTTGAAATAAATCGGATTGCTTCTGTCAGGCTAATTTAACATGTTTTAAATATTCAATATAATTTATTTTAAGGGAAATAAAACCTAGTGGATTGACAGAAAGCTGGAGGAAGAGGCTAGAGAAGGGCAGCTGGACGTTCCTCCCTGTCCCACCCCCACCCCAAAGAAAAAGAGCCAGGAAAGGAGAAGAAAGTGTTTTAAGTTTCTAGTAAACACTGTTTAGCAAAAGAATAATAGGAAACTTGCCCCTTACCCAAAGAGGGATGGAACTATAATTGTTGCCTTTAGCGGATAGCTCAGATAAACCGCTGGGACTCATTCTAAAGTGACCCATCACTGCATTCATCTCTTCTTGAACTTTCGGTGAACCTGAGATTAAACAGGGGTGAGCAGCTAAGCAGTTTGTTGTTAGCAGCCTTTTCAACAACCCTTTCAGACTGAGTAAATATTGATCGGTTTGAATCTGATTGCCTCAGAGGAAAACACCATGGCATCTGAATAGCCTCCAAAAGTAAACTTTCAAAGGTGAAGCTGAGAGCAGACTTCAGAGCCACAGCAAGATCTCAACTCAGCCTAGTTTGAGGAACCCCTGAATTGTAGTAGTACTTTGAATGAACGTAAGGGAAGTAAGAAAGAAGCATTTGAAAGCTGGGATTGTTTTAGGCATTTATCTCAAGTCCCTAATTGAGACCCTTGATATCCTTTTTAAATTTATCGATAAAATGTTATTCTCTGTTTGCCCTCTGTTCTCGTTTCAGTTACCATTGCTGTCATTTTTCAACGAGCTAACTGTGTTCCTCAGAGGCCAAAAAGAAAAAGAGAAACCCTGAAATAGGATGTGTTAAGCGCCTTTGATTTAATCGATTGAGACAACTAAAAAGATACAAATGTTTTCTTCGTTGAAAGGGATATTAATGTTTCCTAAATGCATTGCTTGTTAACTGATTTATTCCTCAACCTAGAGAGAAGGCTTGGGATGTTTCACCATAATTTATGTGCCTCCTGTCTCTCAGTTGCATTAAAACCAGCACCTTAAAGATTGGAATCTCCAGGATTCTAGCAGGTCGGTCCCTGCTTTTAGATATTGAAATCAGGGCAGTGGTATGCAAATGACACTTTAACACATTAAAGTATTTGGAAACCAGCCATCTGTTTTGCTGTGTGGCCTTACACTAATAAACAAAAGATACTGTATAAGGCCTGGTGGGAGAAATGAAAGAAGGAGTTGGCTAACTTTGAAGTTCTCCTTCCACTTGAGTCTTTTAGAGGCAACCCCAGAACCTGGGAATCCAGGGGAGGGCACCCCTGCTCTGCCGTGATATGGCCGCAGCAACTGTGCCCACAAAGTGCAGACTCACCTCCCCCTTTGACAGGAAAGTACAGGAAATCTCAGGGGGATGCTAGGAGGCCTGCAAATTCCCAGGTTTTGTAGGATTTTGCCTACCCAGCCCAACCCATTCTTTGTAAATCTCCCTTTGGAGAGGAAGGAAGTTCTATGTCTGCATTTGTTTGTGATGCTGTAAAATGTCTGCTCTACTCTTGGGTCTAAATTAAAATCTACAAAATGTGTGAATGTAAAGGAGAACTGGTAAGAGGTCTAGGAGGACAGTATTCTGGGCTTTAATTTGCTGGCTTCTTTTGTTTTAGGGCAGACACATGCCTTATTCAAAAGCAACTTGAGTACTGAAAGATTTCAGGGTGACTTCTACAAGTTCAACTGGAAGAAATGTGTGGTGTGCAGAGAAGATAAAAATTTTTTTCTCTGGGTTATGTAGCATGGAATTAAAACTTGGCGACCCATTATAGCTGTGATGGCTTGAAATGGAAAAGCTATGAATAAACCAGAGATGGGGTGGGGTAGTGGCAGGGAAGGGACCGATACTGACAGGAGGGATGGGGGAAGGGGTACAAAGGTTTCTGAAAACAGATCACACTCAATTTAAAAGGTGGAATATATTGGAACACTGTTTGACAGTCCAAAAGGAAGGAAGAGTGGTGGGATAGGATCTCCATTCTTAAACAGCTTTATATAGCAGCTAATTAAATGTGAATCTCTTAACTCTTGGTTCAGTGATGTGAGGAAAGACTGACTGAGGAGTTTGGGCTTTTGAAGGGGATTCTGTTTATATATATGTCAGCATTCAGTTGGAGGTGAAAAGGTTAGTACTTGACCCAGGAAGTATCCATGTTTGTTTCAAAAATAGATCTGCTTCATAAATTTCTTCACCATTCTTTTTTTCCTCTGTGAACTTTGATTTTGATTATAATAAAGGAGCAGTTGTTATTTTAAAGAAAATCAACCCATTAAACAAAGACATTGGTTAGATACAATTACATTCATAGGGAAGCTTTAGTGCCTAGTGGAAGCATTTGCTTTTCTCTTTCAGGAAAAGGCCCACCTCTTTGAAAATGCTCACTGCTCTCTGTCTTCCCAACATGAAAGAAGCCAACTTTGTAGGAACCAGCAAATTGAAGCCAAGCCAAATACATGGATGCTTAAGCGTATCTGAAACTTGAATATATTTATTACAGACATCTTAAGACCCGTAAACTCTGCTCTGGATCCTATCACTCCAGGATCTCAGAGCTGTTCATGATTGTACAGAAAATAGGGAATATCATAGGCTCACAAAGGGTAACTGATAGAACTCAGTGTGGTACTTCAGGGACATCATAACATTGTGCGACATGCAATGACTATCCACGAATCACACAAAATATACATTCATTGTGCCATCCATCACAGTAACAATTGAGCTGAAAAGACATCATATCCAGCACAGATAACTGTGAAAGAAAGAAGCTGGTTTGGATAACACCTTTAGGTACTGAATAGCCCAGCACAAATTTTAAATGGAGCATGGCCAGAGAAACAAGAAAGGGGTCTAGATGGGGAGAGAGCACAGGCAACCAAGTTTCAGAACCTTGGTTCTTCAGGCCTTCCTAACAAATTGAGACTACCTTCTGAGGCATGTAAATTTCACCTACAACCACATATAAAATTGTACCAGCTTTTGAGAGTTTGCCCACCCTGTTTCAGTCACGTAATCTAAACACTGCTAGAAAATCTGTATAAAGATAAATCTCTCAGAACAACGTATTTACAACCAGCAAACTCACACACATGGAATTGAATTAAATTAAGGAATGAATTGTGTAAACACGCTCATAGTGCATCACTTTCTCATGAGCTGCTGCACTCTCTCTATCCTACTTTAAGGGCAAGGTAGGGGAGAAATGGAAATATACAGGCAGATCAAAGATGAGAGGCCTCCTTCTGGCATGTTTCTGCTAGCAAAAGTGATGATTCCAAAGGTATCTGAAAGAAACAGTGGATTCTGTGGAAATCTCCTAAAGGCAGGGGAAGGTTGGTAGGGGCCATCAAAGTGTGTGACACTGGCACCCAAACTGCATGAAAGACTTCACATCCCTCCCCCTACACACCACCACCACCCCCATTAAGCCTCTAGTACAGAAATCTCTGGAAATATTTTATCTCCTCAGATAGGATCAGAAAGGAAGAGGCTGTAAATGGAAAGGAAGATAAGCTAAGAATGTGCTTTGGGAAAGAAGGACCAGCCCAAGGAGTAGCTTGGGCTGCGCTGTCGGTGTCGGGGAACTGGGGCAGCCTCAGTGGGAAGTAGTCAGAGTATCTGAGGTAGAAGACTCCGGGGAAGGAACGCAGGGCGAAGAGCTGGACTTCTCTGAGGATTCCTCCGCCTTATCGTCGCTTCCGGGTGGTGTAGCTGGAGAAATGGGCAAGAGACCCTCCTTCTCCCTTTTTTTCTGCTTCATCCGACGGTTCTGGAACCAGATCTTCACCTGGGTCTCATTGAGCTGCAGGGACGCGGCAATCTCCACCCTGCGGGCACGCGTCAGGTACTTGTTGAAATGGAACTCCTTCTCCAGCTCCGTGAGCTGCTTGGTGGTGAAGTTGGTGCGCACAGAATTGGGTTGACCCACGTAACCGTACTCTCCGACCTTCCCTGGGGACAGAATGAGAAGAGATGAGAGAAAACGGTAAAAATTTGACAGTCTATATGAGACCCTACATGCCTCAGCACAACATTCATTAAGGGGGAAATGGAGAACTTCTCTACACAAACCCGACTAGGGAGGGTGAGTGATGAGGTGTAAAGTGTTAACCCAAAGTCAACCATTAGTATGGTCAGACGATGATTAATGGAGCCTGGAGATATTAGCAGAACAACTCCCCCCCCCCAACTCCACTCCTCCACCCACGGACCTACCCACGTCCTACTTCTAGAACCTCTAAAATTCAGCCTCTTTGGAAACATAGGTCCCATTCGCTCCTTTGCCTCAACACACCTGGGTAATCTCCCCAATAACGGATGAAAACAAGAACTTTTAAATATATATTAGTTTTTCTTGGAAACTACCAGCTCCTTTCAGAATCATCAAGGAATCGCCAAGTAAAGGCAAGACTGACCTGTTTTGGGAGGGTTTCTTTTAACTTTCATCCAGTCAAAGGTCTGTGCTGGAGAAGATGTCTCTGATGCCGGGGACCGACAGGCCTCTTGGTGGCTGGCGTGGAGAGGGGACAAGGAGTTATTATACGTGGCGAGGGCCAGGTTCTGGTGCTCTTGTCCATATGAATGGTGAATGTACTGAGGCGAGCCCACCGCGCCCCCAGCATAACCCTGGTGGTGGTGGTGATGATGCTGGACCATGGGAGATGAAAGATTTCCAGAATAAACAGCGGGAGCACACGCGGTGTACCCACCACTTACTTCTGCTTCCTGATTTAATGAGTAAGGGCTGTAAGGTGCGCCAAAGTTCTGCGCGCTGTAGCTTGGACCACAACCCGAGTGGGAGTAGGACACCCCCAGGTTCCCCGGAGTCTGGTAGGTGGCTGGCTGGGGGTGGTGGTGGTGGTGGTGGTGGGGCGGGCTGATTTGCACTCCCCTGCCCACTAAGAAGCGGTCGTCGCTGCCGCAGCTGTTGGCACTGACCGCGCACGACTGGAAAGTTGTAATTCCATGGTCAGAGGGGTAGGTTCTTGCTGAGCAGGTCCCCGAGTCGCCGCCGCTGAGGATGGGATATTCCAGGAAGGAGCTCATTCTTGCATTGTCCATCTGTCACTGAGTGACCTGGTCCTGAGAAGCCCTGGATGACCGTGCCAACTTTCTCACTTCCTCCATGGGGCCAGAGAAGAAAAATGATATGAATGTACAGTGAGCAAATGGGGGGTGGTTGGGGGGGCTCAGGAGGGCGGAGGGCGCCTGGGGATGGACACGTGACTGTGTCAGCCAATGGCAGAGCCTCCTGCGAAAGTTTGCTAGCTCCCGCGGTGATGGATCACCGTTTCAGTGGCATTTAAATCCCCGGCGCTCCTCAGTCTAGGTGACGCGCAGTCGCCCCCCCAGGCAGCCCAGGCGGCGGCTGCAGCTGCGGTGGCTTCTAAGGCAGATTTGCAGCGCTGGGGCGAAGGGGAGGAGAGACTGCCTCCTGCGCGCGCCGACTCCGCTCGCCCCCCCTTCGGGAGGTGGGGGCTCAGAGACATCCCCCGCCTCCGTTCCCCTCCCCATTGGCGTGCACAGAAAGATGAACTGGCAAGAGGTGAGAAGGGAAGAGGGCTCCTGGCTCTCTCGAGTCGGGAATCATCAGTGGACCGGAGCTCTCTGGGCGGCCACTGCCACGCCAGCCAAGACCGGAGCGCGCCGAGGAGGAAGGGTAGGAATCCGCACGCACCATGTTCTAAGCTCCCCGCGCGCTTTCGCTGCACATTCCCTGCTCTGATACTGTGGGCAATGAGGAGCGCAGAGAATGGTGGCGTAGGACAAGCCTGGGCCACCAGCTCTCCAAGCTCCGAAAGGTTCCAAAAGACTTGATGGGAGAAACCTGAGTGGGCGTGGAGGGGGACGAGGGCAAGTAAAGAAACTTCCCTTCTCCTTGGAGGGTCTCTGAAGTCTCCTCCCTCCACCCCCCC